TCTGGGAATGCTTGCCGCGTCATTGCGCTTACTTGGCAAGTCGGCAAATCCCCTGTCAATTGTTGCAAAACTAATACGGTCGTGTTTATATTGATTAACGGATCCGTAGGAGATCGCAAATGAATAGCACACGCTTCTTTTACCTGCGCAGATATTGAATTATTGATGCCCGAAACTTGGGCATGCAAGGGTTTCGATGGCAGGTTGATTCTTCGTTTGAGTCTTTCGGTTATGAAAGAACACTCAGAACCAGAATCAATGAGCGCTCTCGCTGAATAATTTACACCATTATGATGAATGTTGACCCATGCCGTTCCTAATAGTACTCCTTTATTTGAGTTTGCATGACATGAATTAACTTTATTAACTGTTTTATTCTTTTTCGCAGCTTCCCGCCTTTTTGCTTGCTCAGAAGTAGAGGCTATATCGTAGGACGGACTTGTAGGTGCACTAAGAGCTGTTGCTTTTGGCTGAGTTGCTTGCATATGCAGCAACGTGTGATGTCTTGAATGACACGTACTGCAATTAAACGGACTGGTACATTTCGTGACTGTATGTCCGGCTGACAAGCAATTCAAGCAACTGTGGATGCTCTTAATAAATTCGAGTCGCTTTAGTGGAGTAAGATTGTGAAATTTGTCACACCTTTTTAGCCTGTGCTCATGGCTATGGCACATTTTGCATGTGGGTTTTTCCACGCTGGCTTGGAAGGCGCCAAGCCTTTTTGGAGTCCATTCTGAAGACTGATGTATGTTTTGTGGCTTAGGGGCTTTATTTGGCTTGCTCTCCCTAATGCCTTTTACTGTCTCCAGGGTCTGAAACCTACTTGATAAGAAATTATCCATGTCCTCCCACTTTGATACTTCCGTTCTTTTCTCTATGGTTTGCTCCCATAGTGCCAGTATATGTTCTGGCAGTTTTGTGGAGCACAGATACGTGAATATCGCATCCCAGCTGGAAACGTCAATCTGGAGACATTGAAGCGCCGAGATGCAGTTGTTGATATCACGTTGCAGCTTCTTAATGGAGCTACCGCATTCACTCTCAACTGCTTTCAAATTAAATAAAATCCTCAATTGACTATTGACTAGGATCCGTTTGTTTTCGTATCTGTCGCATAGATTTTTCCATGCGGTTTGAAAACCATCATTGGTCAACTGACATCTTTGTACAATTTCTTTGGCCTCCCCTTGCGTTTTTTGCCTGAGATGGTACAGCTTCTCAACAGGGGTAAGGCGCTTATTAAGGATATATATGGCCGTAAACATATCCCTAAATGATGGCCATGAAAGGTAATCCCCTTTAAATATATCCGTGTCACACGGAGGCAGATGAATATTGAGCTCGCGACTAGACATATACACACTTTCTTTTTCAGTCTTTGCAAAAAGTGTTTGCTCTAAAAGTTCAGCCATTGCTGCTTGGCACCGCAAAAAACTGAAGTATGTGCTTTTGTATTTCTTTTTTATTGAAGTCAGGTCTTTACTATCGAGCTCTTTTGAAGCGCAGAGTTCATCATAGGACCCCTTCACCTTTTCCCATAGAGCCTTCAATTCCTCTTTTTGAAAAGCTAAGGAGTGCTTTGAGTGTTCTGATGGCTGCATGGAATTGTAGTCAGATTCGAACTCTGCTACTGCATCTGCCTGACGAATAAAAGCATCCATTTTTCCTGTTAAGGTTCGTTAAATTTGAACAAAGAAAGATTTTTTTTTTTTTTTTTTCAAAGAAAATTGCGAATAAATCTGATCGCAGATTTAATTTATTTAATTAGAATTGAAATCGACGTGAAAAATATCGACACCTGAATAGCCACACCAGAATAAAAAAAACCACACCAGATTAATTGAAAAGTCGAGGATTTCGTTTTCTTTTAACGACGTAATTATTAAAATTTTTTTTTTTTTATTTCAGCAAAGACGAGTTATATATATGTATGTATTTCCGTATGGTAAATTACTTGCCACCCAACTCTTTATATATATATGTAGTGTATACAATATTGCAATCGTTCGCGTCTGCCAGAAGTGAATTTTGTCGCGAAAGTGAATGTTGTGAACAAAAAGAGGGAAAAAAGAACCCGTCCTTCTCCACAATACAATATATTATGTGTGTATGTATGTTTACATGCACAATCAAATATTTGATACCCTAAAAAAGTAAAGTGAAGTGTTTAAGGCACTAACTAACCCAATCTGTAACCAGTGACACTAAGGTGGAATTAAAATTAAAATAACAAAGTCAACAGGTGAAAATGATAAGAATTTAAAATTGTACGCTGCAAAATCTGCTGTATAAGTACCTATATTAAAAGGGTTTACTTAACCTCAACAACAACGTACCAAGTGAAATTTTATAGCACAAAGCTGAGAAAAGTTATTAAACCAGTGACCGGAAAAAAACAAAAAATATCAACCCGAAAGTGAGATGATACGAACTAAAAATGTGCACCGAGAAAAACTTTTATTAAACAAGTGCTTTGATTAAAACAAGTAACTTTACCCCAACCACTACGTCCCAAGTGAAATCTTACTAGCACAAGGCTGGAAAAAAAATCTTATAGATCAGTGACACGAAAGGAGTTATAATAAAATACCAAAATCAAAGTGAAAAGTGATATGAACTTAAAATCGTGCACCGCAAAAAAAACTTGTATTAAGCAAGTGCTTCGCTTTAAATAAATCACTTTGCAACAACAACACCTGTTCACTTCAAAATGGCGGTATCTTCGCTGTATCTTAATAGCGAATGTGGAAAACAAAAACAAAACGAACGGTTTGCAAAAAAATTATTTTTATAAAGTTCAAAGGCAAATTAAATCTTTTTTTACCCTTTTTCCTCACAACTTCACCCGCGACATTTTTGTTTGACACTCGATTTTATAAATAATGTTTGAAAGTGCACTGAGGTGTGAAATCAAAACCACGTACCTTTGTAAATGGAAGTGCTGCTTTTGTGACAAAATAAGTTGCTGGAACTGTAGCTGCTGTGGCAAATGTAGCTGCTGGAACTGTTTCTGCTGTGTCAAATATAGCGATCAAGTGGCAGTGTATCCTGTGGTCCTTTTATGGTGTATCAATAATAAAAAAGCCTTCAACTGGCAGATTATCCTGTTGCAAATTTTGGATAATGTGGCGATCAAGCGGCAGTGGTGCGTGTGGACTGTATTTCTGGCGCTGTGGAGTACTCGGAGGTCAATTTCTCGGCTGAGAAGGACCAATATTTACGCAAGGTATGGGCCTAAACAGTACGAGAGCACCCTACTGCAAAGTGGTAGCATACATAGGTAGCAAGCAAAGTGTCCAGATTTGTCGATTTCGCGCCAATTTGGCGATTTTTGTTTTATATTTGCGCGTAAAAATTTAGCAAAGCGCCATTGGCGATTTTTGGCAATTTTTTCCCTTCGAATCAATTTTTTCCAATTATAAAAATATACAAAACTTAGTTTTCCACGATAATTTTACAGAAGAGGCTAATGAACAGCGTGATAAACTTGACTTAAGAAGCATATTAAAACACTGCCAAAAATATTTAATCACCCTAAGCGAAGAACTTTGAAACGATTACCTAGTCAATTAAGTACTTTTAAAAAAGCTTTGATTTCGTCCCAGAAAAGTGTGTGAATCACAAGGGCGAGTTTCAAAGACCTGCCAATTCACTATTTGACTTTGAAGGAAAGAAAAGCAGCGGAAACTGAATATTTAAATCTTTTAACTTTCCCATGGAATAACTTTTCTCAGAACCATTTTATCCGACTCTGAAGAATTTTGGATAATTGCTTACGGAGTGAAAACCGCAACAGGCAATAAAATGTTTGCAAATTTAAGTAAATTCATATTATTATCCTTGCCGCACTCACATGCTTTGTTGAGCGCGTTTTTTCCGTAATGAATTCAACAAAATCTAAGATTCGAAATAGGATGAGGTAGGAAAGCCTTAATTCAATAGTTCGAATAATGTGTTATATGAAGGCTAATAGTTTCTGCTGCAAAACGTTTCCAATATCAAACAGTATGTTATCAAGGTTGAATAGCTCAATATATGACAACACCAGAAATTTAAATCATTAGACACTACAGGTGATTTTGAAGAAATTGTGGAAATATCTGATCTCGCCTTATTATAGGTTTTTATTTAATCGTTAGCGCCGAGCTCTTAAAAGCGCATTCTGCGAATAATCAATTAATATGAGTTATAATAAATTTAATAATTGCGCACTCCTATTGCAAAATGTGTTGAAACAAATATTTTTAAAAAGTATGCGTATTTTTAAAGAAAATTTTTTGTACATCACTATTATAAAAGTGATTTGTGTTATTTATTATTACCCTCTGAAGGCGTTATATTCGTTTTTGGTTTTAAAAACTATATTATAACAAGAGCTCATTTTTTAAATAAAAGACTTGTAAAATCGATTTCATGAATTTTAAAAAAAAATTGCGTTTTTTGGCAATTTTTTTCAGAAATTGCGCTTTTTTTTAAAAACACTCTGGACACCCTGGTAGCAAGCAACAAAATTCTGTATCAAATACAATAACAAGATAAAAAAAATTAAGTGAGCGAGATGAGAGGTATGAGAGAAATATATAGCAATTCCAACGACAAAACAGCTAGCACAGAGTCGCATTTATTTTGCTATGCCTGTTGCAAAATATATGCAAGGGTCCAGACGTCGCATACTTTGCAGCGATAGGAAATGCTGTTTCCCATGTATTTTGTTGTTGTGTGTAACGGCTTTGCAAGGCTTCGAGAATACCCCTATTATGTTTGCGATGGAATGCCATGGCATAATACCTTGTTTGAGTTGACATGAATGCAATGTATGAAATTTTTTAAAGTGACACTTTTACAGTAAATTTTGAATTTTGCAGTAGATATGTATAATTATGCAATTTTTTATACACTTAACTCAAAATAAATTCTTTGGATTATAAGATTCTTCCAGCAAATTAGCGATATGCATTTCTTAATTCATAACAAAAACTAATTCTTTCTGCACTCACCTTGTCGCCGAAGCCTAAATCCGATGTAGGTGTCTCGGCAGGCATTTTTGAAATATTCATGTTGATCTGGTTTGCGAAATCGCGTAGCATGTATCTAGAAAATATAACCGCTGTAGCTCAATTACTATATAATTTAGTAAGATGCGAATGCAAGCCAAAAACGTTGCGACCGTTGGTTCAACTCGATTCGTAATCAAGTTGGAAGTTTTGCCCACAAACGTTACAACATTGCGGCAATTTCATTGTACAATCTCATTTTTACACTTTCATGGTTTTGGTATACATTTATAAAATTCAACAAAACACGCATTTCGGCTGAGTTATCCATTTGCCAATGACGTTGTACTACATGCTTATTAAGGTTGCGACGAGTTAAACAACTTGTCAGGAAATCACTTTTTTTGATTTTTCCTACAACCAAGACATACCTCATTCAACGTGCCCACAAACGTTGCAATCTGTAGCACATGATCAAGTTAAACCAACGGTCGCAAACGTATATGGCTTGCTTAAGTCAAAAAGCATATATACATATGCACCTACAAACATACCTTGAATATCAGCACATTGCACATATATTTATACATACATACATACATATGTATGTATACAGGGTGTCCCAGAAGTAACCTGCCAAACTTGAGGAGAAGGCAAGTGGGGTGGTGAGCTCCCTGATAAGCAAACATTTTTCAGGTAAAAGTGTTACCGTTTTTGAAATATTTAAATTTTTTTAAATTAAAAAAAACTCGTGCCTTTTCACGTATTTTCTTTAACTGCATCTACAAACAAGGATATACTTAGTAAATTTTTTATGTAAAATACTTTCAGATAGTTGTTTCTCCATACTCAAATGCAATGTAGTTGAAATATATTAAGGAACCATTATAAAATTAGGACTATATTGGGATTTTTAACTTTTTGATATTTTCTTCCCCAACTTTGACTATCTCTGGTGAAAAAAAATGTACTGAGCTATAACTTTACATTAAATAAAAAAATTTCTCATTTAATAAATATTTCAGAAAGGTGACACTCTTACTATTTCGAATAGAAAAAGTTATAGCCGCTTTTGTGGGTAAAGGACTGAGACACGCTAGAATGTATTAATAGATTTAAATTTACGTTGGTCTTGTTACCGACCAATGACATGCTAAATAGTACAAAGGTACATTATTACTTGCTCCTGACATTATTTTGTGTTACTTACCGGAAATAATGAAAGTGGATTTTGTGAAATTGGACCCTTCGAACATTGTGTTATTAATACAACACGCAGTATACGTCGCATGAATATGCGGATATTCACCTAATTTACGGTGAAGCTTGCTGTAATGCCAGAGATGCTCAAAGACTCTATGCAGAGCGATAGCCCAATCGTCGGCATCTGGGTCGTGAAGTATTCGCCCGCACCCATAGAGAAATATCTGAAGGTAAGTAATTTTTACACCTTTCTTGTTTGAAGCCAATCTTCTTTTAACTATCATTTTTAACTTTTTTAAGGTCGCATAACTGGAAGGCGTGGCGGCGAGACAGGACGTCCTGCAGCGGTAGATGTTAACGTTGTGTTAGAGAAAGTGGAACTAGGTCCATCGACTTCAGGAAGAATGATGGAAAGACGGACTGGAATACCAAAAACTACAGTTCACAAAGCTTTAAAATACCATCCCTACCACATTCAACGTGTTCAGGCTCTACAAGAGAGATTACCTGTCGAGGGTTAGATTTTGCAGTGAAATGTTGCGAATGCATGAATCAGACCCCAACTTTTTTAATAAAATAATTTGGAGCGATGAATCATCATGCAAACGTGATGGTTATTTTAATTTACATAACCTTCACAGTTGGCAGATAGACAATCTCCACGAAATGAGAGAAGATCGTTCGCAGTACCGGCACAAAATAAATTTATGGTGCGGTTTTTTTAATTGTTAGATATTGGGACCTGTGGAACTGCCGCCAACACTCAACTCTCACAGTTATTTAGAGTTCTTTCAGGAACGGCTTCCAACTCTTTTAGAAGATGTACCCTTAAACCAGCGGCGAAGACTATCGCTGCAAAATGACGGATGCCCTGCTCACTACGGCCGTGAAGTAAGAGCTCATTTAGATGAAACTTATCCTCGCCGGTGGATTGGACGATACGGGCCCGCTCGATCGCCAGACCTGAATCCATTACATTTTTTCTACTGGGGCTGTTTTAAAGACAAAATTTATTCAAAACCAATTCAAAAAGAAGAGCATTTGCGGAAACAAATAAACGGAGCTGCTGCTGAGATAGCCCAATTGAGTTTAAGATCTCTAAAAGCGTATTTTCTTAAAAGTTGTCGAGTTTGTATTAGAGTAGAAGGTCACCAATTTGAGCATATTTTATCAATAAATGAATATATTTTTCTTCAAACAACTCATGTATATTTTATTTCACGTGAACCCATCCTTCACAAAAAACTCTAGTCCGAATTCCGGTAAGTAACATAAAATAATATCAGGAGTAGGTAATAATGTACCTTTGTACTATTTAGCATGTCATTGGTCGGTAACAAGACCAACTTTAATTTAAATCTATTAAATACATTCTAGCGTGTCTCAGTCCTTTACCCACATAAGCGGCTATAACTTTTTTTTCTATTCGAAATAGTAAGAGTGGCACCTTTCTGAAATATCTATTAAATGAGCAATTTTTTTATGTAATGTAAAGTTATAGCTCAGTACATTTTTTTTTCACCAGAGATATTCAAACTTGGGGAAGAAAATATCAAAAAGCTAAAAATCCCAATATAGTCCTAATTTTATAATGGGTCCTTAATATATTTTAACTACATTGCATTTGAGTATAGAGAAGAAACTATCTGAAAGTATTTTACTTAAAAAATTTACTAAGTATAGCCTTGTTTGTAGATGCAGTTTAAGAAAATACATGAAATGGCACGATTTTTTTTAATTCAAAAAAATTAAATAATTCAAAAACGATGACACTTTTACCTGAAAAATTTTTGTTTATCAGGGAGCTCCGGATATCCGAATAAAATTTTTATGCAATTCTAACCACGGCAACCCGTGCCGACTTGCAGTCAAAGTTATCAGAATAAGCTTGTTGCAGTTCGCGTGTTTTGTTAATTTACTCATTTTACTTCTTTATAATATGGTATTACTATACTTTATTAGGACATAATATTTAGTAAATCTACATGGTTTTTTACCTGGTAGTCAGGATTTTTTCCAAAGGACTATAAATTATAATATATTTCCTAAAGTTTACAAAAAATATGGAGATATGGGTACCAAATGAAAGAAGAGCTCGAAACCGGATTAACTACAACGTTTGTTTTCAATTATCCTTCTGGAACATGTCAAAATGTCCTTTAAAAATATTATCCTTCAAGATTTCTAATTTTGAATGACTTTTGAATAATCTTAGTTTAATTTAAATCTTATTAATATATATAAGGATACTAAAGGATACAAATTTCAAAGGATACTTTTCAAATTTTCTAATTAATACTGCCACATTTTTTCTTTAATCCACCCGAGAGGACATGTCAAACATTAAAACACTTTATTTTGTTTATTTAATATTATGAAATGCATTTTTTTAAAGGAGGAAAAGAATTTGTTAAAAAAGTTAAACATAAAAATTTAATTAAAAAATGGTCTGAAATTGCAAATTTTCAGGACATGCACAAATTATTCGACTAAAAAACATATAGTTTCGCAGCCTTGTAATACACCCCTTCAAATCCACTATGCTTTTTCCATTAATTAATTTTTTCGATGTCCTTGGGAGAAATCCTGCCGTCCTATTAAAAATTTAAAGATGCAGATTTACTAGCAATGCGTTTAAATATGGGAAACATTTCGAATTTATTGCATTTCCAAAGTTATCGTGGACGATTTGGTAGCACATTTACATAACATTACACCTACATTTGTGGCACTGTATAATTCACCTTACATATTTATAACAATTTTTTTCATACATGTTCTTAGCTGTAAACTTCAATTTGTTTGGTTCAAAAATAATTCGATTTTGTCCGTTAGTTTCATGCGGTTTATAAGTCTTAAGATAATTTGAATAGCTCAAAACCTAACTGTTGGTGGATTCTGTGCGTTTTCAACTTCGTAAGCATGTCGGTCGAACTTCGTGCTTCTACTAGAAATATTTTACTAGAATATTTTTATTTATTTTTTTTTTTAATATTATTAAAAGTAATGTCGGGTAAAAGTTGCAACTGCTTAAATCCACAACAACGGATATATTTTGTTGCCAAGAGTAATTTTTGCTGAGCTCCTAAGTTTTGTTAATTACAAAGATACATATGGGTCAATCCAGGCAAAATTTACACTAAAAATTTTTTTCCGCTCAAATTATTTTTCTTTGCATTCTTTGGGTTAAAATATGATACACGTATTTTTTTATTTTCTTTTGACCCATACCGTTTACGAGATATATTTTTTTGAATTTTAAGCATGCCAAAAAAGGACTTTTTAATATATGCTTCCGCGCAAATAAGCATTTTAATAAAATACAAAGTTAATCATCGTACCATTTATGACTTTTTCTTGGCTTTCATATGAGGATTACGAGAAGTCGATACAATTATTTTTTAATACAAAAAATTAGATATTAAAAAAATAATAACAAATTTAGTTTTTTTTCAAATTTAGTATTGATTTTTTTAAATTTTTTTATTGAAAACTCTTCTTCAAATACTTAAGTAGAACCTGTAAAAATTTCAGAATGGGTAGTTCAAAATTACGCTTGTAATCAAATTTTAAACAACTGCGAAAGCGCTAAAAAACGCGCGCTCTCCTTGGCATGCAACATTTTTCTATGTACCTACTCGCAAGTATAAAAGGCTACATGCTCGCAGCTGAATTTCTTCAGCGTTAAAAGACAAGTTCTGAATGTATGTTTTTTTATTAGGGTTCTAATTACGCCCTTCTACAGTAATGAATATGAATATCTACTTTCTATTTGCTTTATTTGCTTTACTATTACTTTAACATCAATAGGATTGTGGCAACCTGGCTGAACTAACGAAACGATGGCAACCCCGCATGCGAAAGAAGAAAAGAAAGCGGACAGAGCAAGTGCACTTATCGTTCGACAGAA